AGTTGCTAGTGGTTCTGAGATATGAGGCCACATTCAGCTCCGGTGAGGGGTGCGACACTGGGATCAAAATGGCGGACACAGAAATGGGAAGTAGCCCAGACGAGGCAAATCACTCAAAGCTGTTCTACTGACAGAGTCACCAAAGCCTAGACTCAGAAGGACCTTAGAAGTCATATTGCCCCAGCTAGGCGCTTGACTCCCTTCTCCAGCACCCCTGTCAAATGGCCATTGGGCCTCTGCTGAGACCTCCAGTGATGGGAGAGCCCTCTACCTTTGGGGGGCTCTCACTTGTGGAAAGTCTGTTCTTCTGTAGGAGCTAAAGTCTGTCTCCCTGTAGCTTTTACCTCCTGGCCTTAGGGTTGCTCTCATAGTGCTAGGCCATCTCAGAGTGCTGCCCCCCACCTCTTCTTCTCCAGGCTAAACGTTCTCATGATGTCCTCTCCACCGTTTCTAACTGACTGCACCCCTCCTCAGGGTTGGGCATGCTCACCTGAATGCTACACACCATCGATACTCTTCAAGTGTGGTTCTGGCACTCACAACCACAGTGTGGCAGGACTCGCCCCAATGTTTTCTCCTTAGGTAGTCTAAGTGCCTCATTTTGTGTGTGTGTGTGCACATGTGTGTGTTTGTGTGCGGTTTGGAGGGAGTGCTTCCATCCCACTTCCTTGACTCACATTGAGCTTAGTCAACCGAAACTCTTGTATCTCCTCCACCCCGTATTTGTATAGTTTTGTTTTTGTTTTAATTCCAAAGGTAGACGCACGTTGCTTCCTGGTGAATTCCTAAGATCCAGGTTTTGGTCTAGTCTCCCTGATCTCTTTGGATCCTGAACCTGTCACTGTCACCACTTTCATGTCATCCACTAGTTTCATCAGTAAGGTGTCCAACTTCCCATCAGAGCCACAGTAAAGACGTTTTATATGGTAAGTGTCAGATGTTGGCCTCCAGCTGCCAGGCTGACATAGGTTCTTCCAGGTTTGATTTTTCAGCCTGTTTTAAGGAAAGCCATGTTTCTTTTTTGCCACTTCTATTTATGCCTTCTACATTAGGAAATCAATATTCAAATTCTAAAATGGCTGTCTTAAACACGAGAGAGAACCAAGAAGGTTTAAGAAGGTACTAGTATTATCTGGATTTCTCTCTGCCTGCAGATGCACCGTTAATGTACTCAGAGGACTCCCGGCTCCATCTAGTGGCCAGGGTTACAAGCTTTCTTTACTGTGTCTTAGGCTACTCCTTTCCTCTGGGGGAAAATGCGAGTCCCAGCGAGGGTGGGAGGCTGGAGCGCACTGAATGACCTTTGCCTGGGCTGCAAGGGGCACACTTTCCTTTTCCAATAAGCGAAAGTAGAACAGCCAACTCTTTCTGTTTGGAGCTTTGTTGACTTCTGTGAAAAAACAGGTAACACCTTCAGTTCATCTAATTTTTAAACCCAGAGCAGGCAATGAGGCAATCCAGGACACAGAAAAAAGAAAAACAGCATTAAAATGTAACTTTCAACTCTGCAAGTGGCCTGTTAAGGGAACATGGAGGGGGGTTGAGAAGGAGGTGGCAGATCATGACAAAGAAAGGGTGAGATAAGGGGGTGCCAAGGAAGGGAGAAAGAGGCATCCCTGTGGAGAGAGTTGTCAGAAGGTGAGCTTTCCTCCAACCCTCTCCAGGAACTTTACCACTGGAAACACTGAGGGACCTTCTCAGAAGTGTTGTGTGAAGGACAAAGGCATTTAGATGTTGGCATAAGAAACCAGGAAATTAGCAAAAACTGGATTTTGAAGACAAATAAGTCATTAAAACACCTGTCCTAGTAATTTATAACCTTTCCAGAGATGAATGGATTCCAAGAACAGCTCAACTGTTTGTTGGAAGAGAAAAAAGACCCTTAGTTTGGGTACTTTTCCCCACTAAAGACGCGGCACTAGCCCTTTTGCTCTGATTCAGTTCTGCCATTGGCAGGATGGCCATTCTCATGGGAAGATCCCTGTCCTTTTTAAACAACTGTTAGGTAATATTTGGGGGCCACAGGACACCAAAGAGATGTCAAAGAGGCCAAGCCAGTATTGAGCCAGCCAGTCATGAGAATCCCGAGTTAGAAGGACCTAGGATGTTCACCTCCTGCTTGATGAAGAAACCCCCTTTAGGACAGAGCGTCACCCAGGAAGGGTGGCCCAGACCTCTACTGGGCAGGCTGGATGGCTTGAAGGTTTTCCCTCAGTGTGAGCTGAAATTTGTGTTTCTCTGCTCTCCCACCCACTGATCTTCATCCCCCCTCTAGCACGTAAAGAAAGCTTCCTCCAAGGAATCCTTCAAATGTGGCAACGCTTCTATTGTGACAAAAAGCAAAAGTAGGTGGTGAGAGGGAGAGGGCACAGGGCAGAAACCAGCCGTTTGGCTTCTCTGGTCTTTTTTTTTGCTTGGTGGGCATGGGAATGCGGGTCTCTGCCGGCTGCCATATTGCACAAGTGACCCTGTGTACGAAGAAGGAGAGATGGTTGTACTTTTGCAGAACGGTGGCTGGGCTCTCCAAGAAGAGAAGAACGAGTAAGGGACAGGAGGGGCTAGGTAGGGAGAGATAGGTAGGGGGCTACGGGATCAGGCTCACAGAAATCCCCAAAATGCAGAGGTGTAAGGAAACCAGAGATAAGGGAACACACCAGACCACCCTGCCCTGGGTGTCCGGGGTGGGGGTGGGGGCTCTTTTTTTATGACAGTCACCTGTGACCAACGAAGAATAACCAGACCCTAAACAAGAAGTAAGCCATTAAAGATGTTATCAGTAAGTCCTTACGCAAACCAAGACGTCTCAAGAATGATAAGGCCACAAGCTCCCTGGTCAGTTTTAAATAAAAGACCGTCAGTGGAGGCCCACGTTGACAACCCTGGCGGGACCCCTCTCACTCCCGAGAGCTTTATCTGTATCCTTGCTTAATAGAACTCTATCGCTTTACTCACTCCCCTTTGTCTGAGAGATTCATTCTTCGACTCCGTGAGACAAGAACCTAGCTCTCCGGCTTCAAGAACACCCATGGAAAGGCCAGATAGAATTTCTGAAAGCCCAAGGGTAGCGAGGACCGAACACAGTGTGTCAGATCGGGCTGGAGCTACTCCTTCCAAAAGCTTCAAGTGATCATCAGGTTGAACGACATGGGTTTGAACTGCATGGGTCCACTTATACAGAGATTTTTTTTTTTCTGATAAATACCCTACAGCACTGTAAATGTATTTTCTTTTCCTTGTGATTTTCTTAATGACATTTTCTTTTCTCTAGCTTACTTTATTGTAAGAATACAGTATATAATGCATATGATATATAAAAATATGTGTTGATTGATTATGTCCTTGGTAAGGCTTCCAGTCAATAGCAGGCTGTTAGGACCTTTTTGGGGAGTCAAAAGTTATACATGGATTTTCAACTCTGCAGGGGGTGGTTGGCACCCTGAACCCCCACATTGCTCAGGGGTCAACTGTCTGTATATATATGTGTGTGCGTGTACACACACACACACACACATATTCTTTCATTTTAATTGACTTTTCAGATCGTTTACCTTTCAATACGCACTGCACCCCCCTTGCAGCCTGAGGCCTCTGGAAATGCAGAGTTAGGTGAAGGGCACTGGGGACGACCCAGCCGCTGTGGCTGTCACTGAAGGAGCCCATGGCCCCTCTCCCTCTCTCCCTGGCTAGTGGCATGAATGCAGATCTTAGTGCTCGAGTCTGGGATGGTGGGATATAGGTTGTGAGTCGTAGTGGGAGGGAGGGATGAGAAATCACAAACAAATCCATAAATCATACTGGAAAAACCAAAGGAAGACTCTTTCTAATATAAACACAGGTTTTATGCTGAGACCGGTTGGTTAGACATTCCACCGGGTGAGGTGTGGTGACCAGCCCAGGGTAGGTGGCTACGGACGTGGGAGAGCCCAGGGCACAGACTCGAGAGGCACCATGGCTGGAGAGCTCCCGGTGTGCAGTTCCCTGGGGGGCACATAGCCCCTTGGGAACGGAATCAGAATTTCAGGCATCACCTTCCTACCCCAGTGGCTTCCTTGTGTCAGGGGTAATTCCATTAAGGATGGGGTTTAACAAAACCTGCACAGAGTCCTGTAACCAGGATCTGGGACCTTGTCGGGGAAGAGATAAACAGAAAGAGATGTGGGAAACAACTGAGTGCCGCGGATGCTGACTTGACCTCTGGCCAGAGGAAAGACTTCTAGAGCTGGGCTTTGATTGCTGAGCGGGAAATTTCTCAGTCGCTTCGTCTGAAATGAAGCTGCATCTTGTAGACCTAAGGCTTCCAGGCAGGCGAGCTGTGTGGTCGGACTCAACCCTGCCACCGAACAGGTGAATATACCTTAAGTTGAGTCTCAGTTGCCTTGTCAGTAAAATGGGGATAATGATTCAGTCCCTGGCTCCCATTCCCGGACTTTGTGCGCCGCTACTGATCTAGTATCTGTGAATACACCTGCGAAATAATCAAGCACTCTTTGACAGGAGATATTTGTGTCACGAGGCAGGAAAAAGCCTCATGTCTTTGAGTGTATGCAAATAGGCACCACCGGCTGAGACAACAGTGGGAAGCAGGTGTCTCAGCAAGGCTTAGTGGGGCTCTGGGGTGGGAGCCACCTCTTCCGACTCTCCGAGGGACCCCGATATTGAAAAGGCCAGAAGCACCATGGACAAGGCAGCCGCGCACGAGGGCCCGACTCGCTGACTTAGAAAGTGCTAGCACGGGAGCTGACGGAGAGCTACGAGCACCCCCCTCCCCCACCGCTTGGCTTTCAGAGAGCACCTCACCAGGCGCCAGGGCTCCCAAGGAGGGATCATCGGTTTATGGCGATGCTAAAGGACAACGTGGCTTGGCTCCGGGGCACCACGGGGACGCTTTCCCGAAGGTGGGGGTGGTGACTACGCCGGCTGGCAGCACGGGGGGAGGGGGGAAGGGGGGAGCCCCCGGCGGAGCAGCGGCCCGCCAGCCCCCCTGCTCCCCGCCTCCCGGACCTGCCCTCCTGCTGCCCTCCTGCTGCGGCGCGGGGGTGTTATCTGCTGCCCAGGAAGCCCGCGTGCCTGCTGGCCCCGCGAGTGCAGGACGCGCAGCAGGCGGTCTTGTAGTAATTGTAGACGCAGAGTCGCGCCTGCACCACCACGTTGCAATTGTAGTACCTGTCCTTGCAGTTTTCATCTGCAGCAACAGAGAACAGAAAAGACTCTCTGAGCACAGAGCCAGGCGGGACCAGCGGGAGGAGAAAGGGGGCGAGACAGGGCTTTCCATCCTGATCCTGCTTTAATACCTACGGGAGGTGTAGGGTGGGCCAAGAGCTTCCGTTCTTCTTCTTTTCTTTTAAACATGGTAACAGAGTTAGGTATAGAGAATATAATTCAGTGGACTGTGGTCTCGCTGCTCACCGACATACACAATTCCCAGAGTTCACTCCGTGACCACCTCCCCCTTTCTCCTCACTCCTGAGGAATCAAGCCCCACACGTGGTGTTTAGTATCCCCAATCCTGTCTTTATACTTGAACTGTAAATGCTGGTACCCTAATCACTATGTGGCATTTCAGCTTCAAAAAAAAAAAAAAAAAGAAATGATGCAGATTGTATATATTCCTTGGCAACTTGCTCAACGTTGACTTTGTGTGATTCGTTCATGTTTAACGAATGCTCGAGGGAGTTCATTTTCATTACTGAGTAGTGTTCCATCGTACATTCTACAACCTATTGATCCATTTTCTACTGACAGTTTTCAATTTTTTACGACTGCAAACTTTGCCCCTTTAAACAGCGGTTACACATGCTCTCTCTGGGTCTTGCTGGGTCAGAAGGTATCTGCAAATCTACTGGCTCTCATCAGATTGCTCTCCCAAGTGGGTGCAACAATTTATCCTTTTGTCAGTTGTGCAGAATGCTTTTGCTTTCTTTTGCTTATGCTGCGTGTTTTATTTTTTTGCTCATCTGGTGGATGTGACCTTACCCCCAAAGGAGGTTGAACAGATCATCTGTATGTTTATTTGCCATTTGAGTTTCCTTTTCTATGAATTGCTTTTCCTATCTTTTGACCACTTGCTAATTTAGTTAACTTAAAACAAATGAGTCATGGAAATTCTTGACATACAATGGATCCTGATCCTTTATTCATTAGATGTGTTACAAATATCTTCTCCACGCCTGTGGCTTTTCTCATCACTTTGCTGCAGTGTTATTTGTTAAAAAGACAGTATTTTTAATCTAACAGATGTTATAATATTTTCATTTGTGGTTTGGTATTTGTGTTTCTCACTTACAAAATCCTTCCCTACACTGATATATATATATTTCCCCATATTCTCTTCTAAGAGTTAAAAAAATTTCTCCTCACATTTATAATTCACCTGGAATTGATGTGTATGTGTGTGGTGACAAGTAGGAATTCAATTTGTTTTTTTCCTATATGGATAAACAATCGTCTCATCACCATGCACTGAATGTTCATGTTTCCTCCCCAGATTCATACTGTTAACCTTGATCATGTATCATGCACCATAACATGCTCAGATTTATTTTTGGGCACTCTATTCTGTTCCATTTGTTTGTCTATCCTTGTGCAGTATGTCTTCATACATGGTAAGGTACATTTCCCAACATTGTTCCCAACATCCTTCCTCCAAAATTACCTTGGCTATTATTGGGTCTCTGCTATAAACTTTAGACACAGTCTGTCTGATTTTCTATGAAAAGCTCTGTCTAGATTTTGATTAACATTGCTTGAATTTATAGATTAACTTGGAAAATAACTGACATAATTTTAGCTGCTTGCTTTTTGATATTACAAATATACTGAATACATTTATGTATCATAACATACAGTTTTACCACATTCTTTTGAAGATGTCAATTCTATCCTGTGTACAGTAACATAATTAACCATTTCCTTCTACTGGTAGAAATATAATTGCTTCTAATTTTTATGAGTTACAAGAAATTCTACAATTCCTTCATTTATTTATTCTACACAATTTACTGAGCCTTATTCTTCGTGTATATGTATATCTGTACAATTTTGAGAGTCTATCTTTATCATTTTTTAAATTTATTTGACACAGGGACAGAGACTGCGAGAGAGGAAACACAAGCAGGGGGAGTGGGAGAGGGAGAAGCAGGCTTCCTGCCGAGCAGGGAGCCCGATGCGGGGCTCGGTCCCAGGACCCTGGGATCACGACCTGAGCCGAAGGCAGACGCTTAACGACTGCGCCACCCAGGAGCCTATCTTCAGTATACATTTCTAGAAGTGGAGTTACTGGGTCAAAGATATCACATACTTTACATATTGAGCGATATTGCCAAAGTTCTCTGAAAAGATTACGCTCAGTTACAAGCAGGAGCTTGTACTACTTCTCTCACTATTTCTTCCTCCTGGCTCGCGGCTGGACATTTTCTTCTTATATTGGTTGTATCACATTCCAATAAGGTATGTTTCACATTTTTCACACAATTGTTGCTCATTGTCCCTCTCTTTTCCTTTCTTCTTCTCTTCCAACTTGGGTTACGATGTCTGTGATGGCTAATTTTATGTATCAAATGTACGGGTGATGGGGAACCCAGATGAAACATGATTTCTGGGTGTGTCTGGGAGGGTGTTTCTGGATGGGGTCAGCATTTTAATTGATGGGCCCAGTAAAGCAGGTGGCCCTCCCCAGGGGAGATGGGACTCACTCACTGAGGGCCTGAATAGAACATCAAACAGAGGAAGGAGGAATTTGTCCCTTTCCTGCCTCACTGCTTGAGCTGGACATTTCATGTCATCTTCTCCTGCCCTTGGGCCAGAATTTATACCATCAGCTCCCCTGGTTCTCAGGCCTTCAAGACTCAGATTGAATTACACCAGCAGCTTTCTTGAGTCTCCAGCTTGTGACTGGTAGGTTGTGGGACTTCTCCGCTTCTACGTTCACGTGAACCAGCTCGTCATAATGAATTTTTTTCTATCTATCATCTGTCTATCTATCTATCTATCTATCTATCTATCTATCTATCATCTATCATCATCTATCTATTATCTATCTATCTATCTATCATCTATCTATCTATCATCTATCTATTATCTATCATCTATCATCATCTATCTATTATCTATCTATGTATCTATCATCTATCTATTATCTATCTATCTATCTATCTACTCATCCATCCACCCATCTATCCTATTGGTTCTGGCTCTCTAGAGAACCTTGACTATTACAATGTCCTTAACAGGAGAAAAGTTTTTAATTTATTATGTTATGTTTTTACATTCAGCAATAAGGCCTCTGAGTTTTGTGTCTAGCTTATGAAGGCTTAACCAACCCCAAGAATATCTATCTTTTCTGGTATTTTTACATTGTGTTTTCTATGCAAAGGTCTCTAATCCTTTAGGCATTTATGTATATATGGCATAAAGCAAGATGTAAAATGTTTTGCTTTGTTTTTTTCAAATGGATCTTTGATTATCTGAATGCAATGCAAGTCTCTCCTCTCCCCACTTCCTTAACATTAGGTCTTTATTGGGTGCCTAGGTGGCTCAGTCAGTTAAGCGTCTGCCTTCAGCTCAGGTCATGATCCCAGGGTCCTGGGATTGAGCCCGGCATCGGGCTCCCTGCTCAGCGGGGAGCCTGCTTTTCTGTCCCTCTTCCACTCCTGCCTGCTCATGTGCTCTCTCTTGCTCTCGCTCTCTCTCAAATAAATAAAGTCTTAAAAAAAATTAGGCCTTTATCATACTTCACTTCCCTCGTATCGGAATTCTGTATTATAACACCCATAACCCTGTCTCTTCCTGACTCAGCATATAGTTTTAATTTCTGTGTTTTATAATGTGTTCAAGTACATGATAAGGCAATATACTTGAGGATATTATATGTTGAACCTCATGAACCTTCTTTTATCCTCTTTACAGATTTTTTTAAAAAGATTTTATTTTTTAAGTAATCTCTATACCCAAAGTGGGGCTTGAAATCATGACCTCAAGATCAAGAATCTCATGCTCCACAGACTGAGCCAGCCAGGCGACCCCTCTTTACAGTACTGAGTGTTCCCATTCAGGAGTAGTTAGTCTCTCTATCCATTCACATTTCTTACTATGTTCTATATCAAGGTTTTCTTATTTTTAATTATTAACCGCTTTTTTCTAAATAGACTTAGACCTTTCTCATTAATTTTCTTCCTTCCACTGTTTTGCACCTACAATTAAAAGTTGAAATCTCACTCCTTCGACCTTAAAGATAATGGAACCAAATCTCTGAAATCATTACCATTTTAGTCAATTTGCCTTTAAGTTTGGAGGGTGGCTTGGATCACCACCCAAGCTATGGACAGTCATCTTAAACTATGAAACTTATCATACTGAAAGTGTTTTGACCCCCTGAGCCCCACAACTGTGGGCTTGGCATTTTCATACGAGGGAACTTGCTGGGGTTTAAGAAGGGTTTGTTTTCTCTCTGAGATAGGAATTCCTACTTACCAACTTCAGGGACACAGTCCTGAGGGTTACAAGATTCTTTCTCTTCTGGTTTCAACTGAGGGTCACAGAGATTGCTTAGGGTCATGTCATCTGACAGGCAGCGCACTTCGCGGACCCGGAAGCCGCCCTGGCAGCTCTTGGAACACTGCATGGTGACAAAAAGAGAGGGGTAGGTTTTTGGCCGTCCATTAGCTCAGCACACTGGAAGGGCAGATACTGGAAAATTTCAAACATCTTCGAAAGGAGACTAAATACTAAAACAAACTCCCATGCATCAACCAGCATCAACAACGATCAACTCACGGCCAACTGTGTCCCATCTGTACCCCACCCATGTCTACTCCACTTCTATTTTGAGGCAAATCTAGACATCACATCAGTTCTTCTATAATATTTCAGTTTGTAGCTCTAAAAGACAAAACTCTTAAAAAGTTACCACAATTGTATTATTACACCTAGAAATTAACAACATGTCCTTATCTTCAAAAATATATTCAGAGTTCCCATTTCCACTTCTCTGGTGAATCTCAAGTTTTTAATACCTTTTTTTTTTTCTTTTTGAATCAGGATCCACAACAGGCCCGCACATTGCAGTTGACCGACAGGCCTTTTAGGACTCTTTTTTTTAATATTTTATTTATTTATTTGACAGACAGAGAGAGAGAGCACAACCAGGAGAAGTGGCAGGCAGAGGGAGAAGCAGGCTTCCTGCTGAGCAGGGAGCCCGACGTGAGGCTCGATCCCCAGGACCCTGGGATCACAACCAGAGCCGAAGGCAGCCACTTAACTGACTGAGCCACCCAGGCGCTCCTAGGACTCTTTTTAATCCACAGGTTTGCCCCCATTGCCTTTTTTCCCCATTGTACTTTATTATCTAGAGGAAAGGAGTCATTTGTCCTGTAGAGATTCCCATAGTCAGGATTTTGCGGACTGCATCTGCATCGTACAGTTTAACATCTTTCTCTGTCCTCTGCATTTCCTGTAAATTGGAAGTTGGGTATAGAAGAGGCCCTAACGGGTGCAGGTTTGTTTGTTTTTGTGGTGAGACTGCTTCACTGGATGTGTGTGGTTGTCTCTGTCTGGGGACGTCAGCAGCCACGGATGTGCCATGTCCAGATCTATTAATCCACTGTGGTTGAAGAACGGTGGTAAAACTCTATCATCTCTTCTTCTTTTATTAGCTAGGAAACGAAAATAATCCCTGCCCCATGCCTACCTAGATTTGCTCTTTGGTACACCCAGTGGTACAGCTTGTTTAGGAAAGACGGGGTAAATGCTTGATTACTTTCCTTTATGTATCAGTCTTCAGAATAATGAGATGGTTTCCCTAATGGTGGATCCTCCAATTAGTTTTTTTTTTATTATTATACACTTATTATAAATGGATGGGTTTAAATACATATGATGTATTTCATTCAATCTATGGCAATTAATATCTTTACTGATGGTCACTGATGTCTCCTCAGTGGCTAGTCTGAGCCCTCAAAACTTGGTTCTTGAGTCCTTCGGGCATGAACTCAATTTTCTTTGAGAACTTCCTTGCCACATGGGATAAAAAGATATTCTAATCTAATTTGTACGTATACAGTCCCAAACCTGGAATCAGCTGTTCTCTAAGAATTCCTGGTTGCTTTTGGTGGAGAGTGGTATTCTGAAACCACACTTTGGCTGACAGGCACGCCTTTTGCTACCGGTTGGCCATTGTTTCTAGGCTCTTTCAATGGGTAAATGGGTAAAACTGGGAAAGAACTTTTTTTTAAGATATTTTGTGAGTTCATACTGATGTTTCTGATTCAAATTTGGGAAAACAGGATTTTCACTTAAACCTCTTCCATCTCACGTGTATCTTCACTCTCCTGAGTTGAGAATCTTGTTTCCCAAGGATCCTGGGAAAGACAGAAAGCTACTACCATATTGTCACATACGGTATCACACATGTTATCGTAAGGTAAATTACTTGTTTACTTTAGCACTCACTATCCACTCAACTATCTCAGATTACGGTACAACACTCTCACTAAAAATACGATCATTGCAAACAGTGTCAACATTTTCTAATTCTCTTGGTCTCCAAGGATAGACAGTCAAATTGCTGTTTTTGTTTGTTTTCCACTGGGTGTGGAGCTCAGCATGGGGATTGAACTCACGACCCTGAGACTAAGACCTGAACTGAGATCAAGAGTCGGATGCCTAACCAACTGAGCCAGCCAGGCGCCCCAAATTACTGTTTTAAAGCCACCTGCAATAGTGCTGATGCTGCCAACTGGATACATATTTAGGTTGAATTGTTTCATTATATTTTCCATTTTTGGGGATTCCTTTGTTCAAATCTAATTTTGTTTTAGGATTGTCTAAATATCAGTTTACTCAAATTTATAAAACAAGGCATATTCAAAGATATCTCTCTTCCTTCACTGTCTTTGCTGTTATCATAACCATTTATTTCATATTTGTTTCAGTTTACTTGTTTTGAATTTACACACAGAAAAAGTCACTTTTTGTGGTGGCACACAGTTCTGTGAGTGTTGACAAATTCATAGAGTCGTGTATTTCCTGCTGCAAATAAGATCCAAGAGTTTCATCAAACACAGCAGATCCTCTTGCCCTGCCCTTCTGTAGCAAGACTCATCCCACCCCATCCTCTGGCAATCACTGATGCGGTCTCTGTCCCTGTGGTTGTGTCTTTTTCAGAATATATAAAAGGAATCATACAATATGTAGCTCTTGGGGTCTTTCTTTCACTTAGCAAAGTGCATCTGAAGTTCAACCATGTCGGCTCGTTTGTTCTTGTTGCTGAGTACTCTTCTGTGGTTCAGGATGTACTGCTATTTGTTTATCTACTGGCCTGTGGAGGCACATCTGGGTTGTTTCCAGCCAGGTGTTTTGGGAGGTCATCTCCTCTGACTTAGCCTGATGAACTTGGCCCTTCTAGACCTTCCAAACCAAAGGGCAAAATAACACAGTGATCTGTTCTTGCATTCTCAAAGGCCGTGGCCAATATCAAAACAATTGAATTCCATTTCCCAGATGTCGACAAAACACCTTTCAAACTCAACACCTGCTTTGTTCCCATTTGCCTCTGAGGTGTGGTTTACCCGTGCCCAAAGCCTATTATCACTGGAGTAGACATACACTATTGGGAAACAGAATTCTCAGCTTTTATACATATATTTCATAAGCAAAATCCCTTTTATCACCTTTGCATGATTCTGAGAAAGGCTCTGGCCTCTACTCTGGCTTCCCCTACAGGCTCTGCTTGATGATCTTCAGTGACAAAAGGCAGAACGAACCTCCGCCAACCCCTCATGTGTCTAAGGCATGGTCACCAGCAATGATGCCTTAGGCAGTTTTCTGTCTTAGGAAGGTTTTTGAAAAAAAAATTGTTTTTATCCCTATTTTCATCCTTTCCCATTTTGTTCCTTAATTATCAACTTCTGTATTAACTCTTTCTCTCTCTGTCTCTTCATTTACACACTACCCTCCCTCCTCACAGAAAGGATTTGAGAGGTCTTAAGAAATACTTAATGGTTTACAAGATTTAAGGAAAAAAAGGTGAGAAGACTGGAGCAAAAAAGAAGATAAAAGTAGGAAAGAGAGAGAAAAGCTGGGGCACATTAACATACAAAATCCACTCTGTGAGGTCTGATAAACTCTCTCTTAGAGATGGACCACAATTTTGGTTCTGAGTTTCCAAGCGGCCAATTCAAAGAGAAAAATAGGATCAATCTCATCATCTACAAATGTCTACAGGATGAGGAAAAAAGTACACACACACACACAGAGGTTCCTGAGGCCTGACAGAAATTCCTTCAGTGAGTTTTACAATGAGATCACTGCACCATGTAGTATCCTCAAGAGCATCCTTGAACCCCTTTTCAGCCATTAATCTGCTGCAACAACATTTCTCAAAATGCAGTCCAAGGACACCTTTATCCAAGTCACCTAAAGAGCTTGTTCAAAATTCAAATTCCTCGGCTAGGGTGGACCCGGAATCCATCTTTTCAAACAAGATCCCAGTTGATTCTAATGCACACTGAGATTGAAAGTCACTGCTTTATGGCCTCTCCAGTTTAGAGATCAAGATGGTCCCAGCCTCTGGCTCCTCCCCAAGCAGGCTGCTTCCAGGGGTGCCCCGAAAGTGATAGTCTAGAGTAGGTCCTTCTGGCACGTAGTAGGCGGTCTGACTGTCTCTGGGAGGAAAGAAGAATGATGTACTAATGCAATCTCTGTCAAGAGCACCATGACTTACCATGCTCCATTCTGTGTTAAACCATTTGGCCCCGCAAGGCTTGAGGTGGCATGCTTGCTGGCTGGGGGGTCTCTCCAGGAAGGAACATTCATAGGGGTCCAGCACTTCAAAGGTGTCTGCGTTCTTCCTAACACAAATCACCTCCCTCTGTTGCGTCCCACTCCCACACTCGATGGAACACTGGAGAAAAATCAGAGAAGGATGGGTGTCACATGCTGGAGAGGGGACAGGAACATCAAGGGATGTTTATGAGTGTTTTCTATCATCAATTCAGTTAGGACGAGCCCAGGGACACCTGGAAAATGTTACTGGGTAAGATGTAACAGGTGGATGGCAGTTTTCCCAAGAGCTCTGTGTCAGGAATGGAGCGTGGGTGCCCTGAGTTATCACAGCACCAGGATGCTGGTCTCCGAGATCGTGGTGCCCTCTGTGTGAGATTGAAATGGTTTCTTTTAGGCCACTTCTTTAGACGCCCCCTCCCCTGGCACACACAGAGGGACACATCAGCCTGTCAATTTGGTTGTTCCTGTCCAGTAGATTCTGACACTTCTCACTGCAAAACAATGAACTATCATTCTGGTTGATCTGCCCGTCTCAGTGGGTGGATACTGGAAATGACTTAGTCTCTCCGATCCCGCACACTTGTGGACGAGGGGCTACATTAAAATTCTTTGGGACACACAAAGCTGAGCAGATCCCAGACTGGGGACAATGTCCCCTAAGGTCAGCCCTCCCAACAGGTGGCCAGCAGGAAACCTCTGACTGCAGGGTCCAAGCCTCTCACTTCCCCCTTTGGTGGGAAGCTCGAGAGGGTAGTCACACAAAGAGGGCGGTCAGACAATTACACATGTTGGTATGTATTGTTAGTTTACAGAAACGTGATGTGTATAACTGCTCACAAATTATTCTCTTTCTATTACTTTGTAAAATGTTTCCTGTTCATGTCTGGTTTACTCTTAATATTTCCTGATTACAACATTTTAAAGCTGTGATCCATATACATCTTAAATAATCTACTTAATAACCTTAAATAATCTACTATCTTTATAAAGGCCTCTAACAATTTCTTTAGTTGAAACTCTTCATATTAGCTCTGCTGTCCGTATGCAGGAATGTAGTCAAATAAAAACAGTGAAAAAACCACACATACCTACAGAAGAAAAAGGCAAACCCCAAACCAATAGACTATGGTCTATTAGTCACATAGGACGTAATAAGCATCACCCTCAGCAATTTCCACTTGGTGCCCTTTTTTTTGGGGGGGGGACATCTTCATAAGACATCCAGAGGACAAATCTTCTTGGTTTGTTTTTCTTATTTTCTTCCATGTGAGTTAATGACTGATTTGGAGTATATTCAGGTTTTTCTTTTCTTTCAAATTCTGCGGACAATGACAACACTGGAGGCAGGAGAGGGGTGACCAGCTACCAGGCAAAGGCCTGGCCTCCCCTGCAGGGGGAGTGAGATTGTGTGCTAAGGATCCAGGGGGCAGCAGTGGGGAGAACAGGAGACATGGAAACTAGTCCAGACATCGTCACTAAATAGCTCCGAGTCTTTGGCCAAGATATTGCACTTTCCCAGGTGCCCACTGTCTCGCTTGCAAAGTGGGGGTTTGGAAACCTGATCTGAAAGACCCCTGACTGCTCTGGGGGTCTGTGTCTATACCGAGTGCTTGGTAGAATAGCAGATGACAAACCTTGACCAAAACTTGAAGCTACTTTCTGCTATTTTTTTTTTTTTAAGATTTAATTTATTTATTTGACAGAGAGTGAGAGCAGGAACGCAAGCAGGGGGAGTGGGAGCAGGAGAGGGAGAAGCAGACTTCCCACCGAGCAGGGAGCCCAGTGCGGGGCTTGATCCCAGGACCCTGGGATCATGACCTGAGCCAAAGGCAGACGCTTAATGACTGAGCCACCCAGGCGCCCCTATTTTCTGCTATTTTAACGAGGTCCTTAAGAGATTAGGCAGTTAAGGGAGAATGAGCACATATCTCAGCCTTCTACCCTAAATGCCCAGAAATGGCAGAATATGTGTGTTAGGAACAAGTGAATGGATGTGTGTGTGTGTGTGGGGGGGGGTATGTATGTATGCATGAAATAGCATTTGAAAACGGGAAAGGACACTCATCCTTGGTGGACCAGAAATTATGGTGAAATTATATTTGAATGGTGAAAGGCAGATGGGATTAAGTTGAAGGAGCACATCATAGTTCAAAATGCATAAAGAAGAGGATGCCCAGCAAAGAGGAAGCATTTCAAGAGCTTCAGGCGAGAAGGAATACGAGAAGCAGGAAGGAGGCCTCGGGATGGTGAGACAGTGATCAGCTAAGGCACTGACCAGGAAGAGCAGGGCAGGGCTGACTGGCAGGGGAAAATGAAGGCATCTGCCCCTACTATCAAAGGGCAAAGTGAAGACACTTTCGGATATTTAAGGGTTCAGAAACTTACCACTCATGATCCTATTTGAAAGACTTACTGGGTAGTGGTCTCTGATAAAATGAAAAAGAACCAGGAAGAAGACACAACCAGGAAAGATACAAAGTAGAAGAGTTGGTAAGAGCTATTGTTAATAATGGATACAGGGGTTTTGGGGGATGATGTTCTGGATGTTCTGGAATTAGACAGTGGTGATGGTTGTACAGCTTTGTGAGTATACTAAACACCGCTGCATTGTAAACTTTTAAAAGGGTGAATTTTTTTAGGGTATGTGAATTATATTTTAATTAAAAAAATAACCTTTGGAGGGGAGACAGCTATTTTTAAACCTGAATCAGTATTTTCTATAAAGTTAATTAACATTAATATGGAGCTAGATCCAGATGATGTCAACATCTTTTTGGAGATATTGTGGATTGAGAAACTGGAGGTAAGTACATGGAGACTTAAGGCTTCTGTCTGCTTTTGGGGGAGGATGTGATTGCTGATAGCTTGACACAGAAACATGACAGTTTAAAACTCTGTGTTAAAAATTTGAGTGTTAGGACTAAATGAATAAAAGTAGGATTTATAACTTCCAAAATGTTAGAGGGGAAAGATGGAATTAAGGAAACCTGATCTGTGCACATGTGCAGAAAGGAAAGAAGAAACAGACCAAGAAAGCATGGCAATAACCTAAATAAGAAACACAAATTAAGATGGCAGGGAAAAGTCCAAGCATATAAGTGATTACAATAAGTGTGAATGGTTAAAATTAAGAAACAGAGACTTGCAGATTGGGTAAAATTAAAGACAAAAATAGTCCTGCATACAAAAGACATATTTTAAAAAATACATAAAAATTGACAGATACACCAGGTGAAAATCAACAACGAGTAATCAGAGTAATGCAAATATCAGATAGAATATAATTCATAGAATTCATAGAAGAAAGGCATAGAAGACAGAGGTGGTATTTAAGAGCGATAACTACTTCCACTGAGCACTGGTAGTGATTATGTGTGTTTCTACACCTGAATAATTCCTGCAGTTGTACTCTGGTGGATCACTGATCCAAGATGAGAGCAGAAATATCTGCTCAGATGCCAGTGAAAATAAATTCAGACAGAAAGGCAGACAAGAGAGCTGCTCCCAATGGTAGAGACTGTGAAAGACACCCCAGAACAAGGACAATCTACAGGTGAAGTAAACCCAGAACTGGAAGGGAAGAAAAGAAACATCTGTGCATCAATCTAGGCACCAATCTAGATATTGGTGGAATAGCTAATGAGTAGGATTTAGGCTACTTTGGCACCAGGTATAAAAAAAAACTCCTTAAGCTTGATAGGTCTCATTCTCTTGGGCTGGCTTTCTCCACAAGCCCCGACAAAGCGATTGCCAGCACCTTTGCTCACAACTTCCCAGAGAGTCTCCTCCCTTAAGTCTACATTGAAGTCCCAGGGAAGGATTCTGCTAGGCTTGGCTTGGGTTCCATGTCCACCCTGGACAGTTCACTGTGCCCAGGCTCGTGGGGCGTTCCAGATGCCAACTACCATTCAAACCACATGGATAGAAGGAACATTTATTTTCACTTTAGTTTCAGTACATAAGCATGCTCTATTTCATTTTCTTTGGGGATAACATCAGAGTCCCAGGGTAGGGAGGTGACAGCAGGCTCCAACATCCTTATAAATCCAGAGCTAAAACCTTGTCGCATTCAATCATGTCTTGACCCTTTTGGGCAACAGGGCACTGAATTCCATGTTTCTAATCTTGGCGGAAACAAACACTGCCTTCACCCAGATTCACAATCACTCTCAGTTCTCTGAATAGGCCTGGAGTCAACAGGAGGCCCGCAAGCAAAAAAGACCCTGAATCCTGCTCCCTTCTCTTCTGAGATTGGTAGACGTTCAAGTTGAATTGCACTGCTAATCCTCACCATGTGGAGGCTGTCCCAGTTTCCCAGAGGACTCTTCCCTTTGCTTTGTTTCTGTGGCTATTTGGTGTAATGCAGTCCCCTCTGAATTATCTTTGGGATTCGGGTCCTAGGTGTTTTGCTACCAATAGTGACATGGAAAACAGTGGGCAGACAAAATAATAAACACAGGGAATAGGGAACTAACATGCATTAGGAGGTATTCTCATCCTCACGTTTGGATGGGGAAACAGGCTCCCAGGCGTTTTGTTGCCTGCCCCAAGTCAGAAGAACTGCAGAGAAGTAGAGCTGGGACCAGCTATCAGGTATGTCTGACTCTGATATGCACTCGTGTAGCTCTGGGAGTACTTGAATTCTCTTTCTTTTTGAATTTTCTATATTTTACAGTTTGTATTATAAGAACATCAGAGCAAATTTGAGAAGAAAACATTTACCCATGTTGTTCATATAAAAACCCATTTTTCAAAGGGGCTGAGATAAGGTTCACTCACTGGTTTTCACTTGCCACTATATCCTGTGTACTTTCTAGGTCTCCCTAATTATCACTGTTGTTGTTACATAATATTTTAATGAGTTATGATACAACGTAATATCCCTAAGTGCCCTGCTGTCATGAACACCTCTGTTAAAAAAGCCTTTTTTTCTTCTGTTAATTATTTCCTTAAGATGAATCCCCAGAAGTGGAGTGACTGGTTAAGGCAAATGAACATTTTTATGGTTCTTGACTTTTATTGCCAAATTGCTTTCCAAGGGGGTTGTATCAACTTACAAGGACCGGGCAGTCTATTTTTTCAGGGTCTGTTTTTAGAGCTACTTAAATCAAATTCTATATGGAGCCAAGGGTCCTGATAATGTATAAATCATGATCATCAGCCAAAAAGTCCTTGGAGAACCAGCCAGCCCTGCCAAATGCTAAGTGGCCCGAGAACTCAAAATACTAACAGCAATCATAACAGGGCAGTAAGAAGGAACGATCTTTTCCACATTTTCTTAGGGGATTTGTGTTCAATTTTGGAACACTGAGGAAAACATCAGTAGATCAGTGAAGTTACTTTATTAAAGTATTTGGTATTATCTGTTCTTTATAAGGAACAACTGCAACTTTTCCTATATCTGCTTCTATTTCCCCCCTCAGTTTTATTGAGTTATAATTGACAAATAAAATTGTAATATATTTAAAATATACAAATGATGATTTGATGTACATATGCATTATGAAAGGATTCTCACAACCAAGTTAATCAACACATCCATCACCTCACATAGTTACCTCTTTTGTGTGTGCGTGAGAATGTTTACGTTCTACTCTCTTAACAAATTTCAGTGATACAGTATCATCAATTGTGGTCACCATGTTATACATTAGATCTCAGAACGTATTCATCTTGTCACCGAAAATTTGTACCCATTTACCAACCTCTCCCCATGTCCCCACCCCCCAGACCCTGGCAACCACCATTCTGCTGTTTCCCTGAGTTTCATTTTTTTTTTTTCCACATTCCACATGTAAGTGATACCATGTAGTATCTGTCTTTGGCTGTTTGGCCTATTTAACTTAGCATAATGTCCTTCAGGTCTACCCATGTTGTCACAAAGGGCAGGATTTCCTTCTTTTTTATGGTTGAATATTCCTATATATATATATATATATAATATATATACCATATATATTCCATTATATATATATACACACACACACCACATTTTCCTTAGGTTATCAACAGACACTTAGGTTATTTCCAGACCTCACCTATTGTGAATAATGCTGCTATGAACATGGGAGTGTAGGTATCTCTTTGAGATAGTGATTTGGCTTCCTTTGGATATATCCCTGCAAGTAGGACTGCTGGATCATATCTATTTGTGCTTCTGACACTCAAATACAGACAACACTGGCTTTATTAACAACAAGAATAGCAGCAGCAGCTACGATTTACTGTGTATTTGTTGTATGTCAGGCACTAGGCTACATTCTTCATAGACATTACTTCATTTCTCCTAAAAATAACCTCACACAGTACGGTCATTAACAGCATGTTATAGACAAAGAAACCATGCTAGATCATACACTCCCTGAGGGCAGGAATATTCGCGTTGCTCGTTGACGTATTCCAAGGGCTGAGAAGAGCACATAATAGGTGCTCAAGAAACACTGTTGATTGAAAGAGGCTCTGAGAGCATAAGCAGCTTCTCCAGGGCCATGGGCAGCACTGCGGGGATTCACACCCAGGATGCCTGGGATACACCGTGTCCTGTTTCCCGGCCCCTCGGCTATGCATGCTCTCTTACCAGGGACGGATGAACCCAGCCAGCTCTGGCCACTCACCTGACTCCAGCTCCCTGCAAACCACTCCACCTTGCCCGTGCAGGGCCCATTGTCACACGGGGTGGCCTCCGCGGGCCGGTTGTTCCCACAGCCCTCCAGCGGCAGGCTGCTGATGTGGTTGGTCATGCACACCACCGAGCGTGTCCGCACTCCAGCCCCACACTCTGCCGAGCACTGCAAGACAGGAGATGGGCACGTTAGAGGGCAGGCCCCCTGCAGGCTCTGAGGCCACTTTCTAATGATGTGAAGGACTGAACATCTCGTTTCCCTACCAACTCTTTCCCCTAGGAGTCTCTGACCACTTTTCACGCCCAGCCTACTCCATTATGGGACATCAGTACGGCAAACCCCCATCTTCGCTTTCCTAGGACAGTCTTCATTCCAAATATCCTGTCCCAGTGCTGTGATTGATATGCTTACACTTGTCAGACAACCTGTTTTGACTTTTGCTTTTGAAAATAGATCCAGCAGCAGAAGAGTGAGAGCATGAACACTTGGGCATAAGTCTACTTGCTGGCAGCTGAGTCTGGGCTGTTCTGGGGAAGTGGGGAAGTGAAGTCTGTCACCTCTACCCTGCTACCTGATAGTAAGGCAGGGGTCCCAGTCCTTGAAGGCCACAGCGGTGACAGCATTAGCAGACAGCTTCCTATAGACGGAGAGCTTGGCCTGGGAACCAGACACATCGGTGTTAATATCCCTACTAGCCTGGTGGCCTGGGGCAAGGAACCCAGCCCCTTCTACCTCTGGCATGCTCATCTGGATAGCACATTCCTGGCAGGATTACAGGTAATGAATAATGTGCTCTGCCTACAGAAGGTGCTCAATAAATGGTATAGAAGCTTGAAAGAGTCAAGTTCTGTATCCCCACTCTAAGGTAAAGAAACTGAGGTAAGGTCTTCACTTAAAGCCATGGAACCACCAGTCATTTCTGTCCTACAAGCACACTCTGTCCTCATCCAGGGCCTACTGAACACATTCCCGAGTCATACCCCAAAGCTTGAAGAGCATTTTCCATCTGTCTTGAAATGCTTTGGAATGCTGCCTTATTTTGCTTCTCATCCTATCTGTTCAGACCTTTCTGGACCTCTTTGAGTGCTCCCCAGATACCTCATGTTCACCATGTAAAACAATGAAGCACCCCCCTCATCACCATCCCCATTGCTACTCTTGGTTTTCCAATTTGTGCTCAAATTTCTACCAGGATTCAAAAGTTGACCATTCTTTTGAGTCCTTGCTTCTGCCATCAAGCCAACCTTCAGATCTCACAGATTCTGGTTTCACCACATTTTTCCTGTCCTGTTTCTTTCTGCCCATGGTTCCCAGCATTGATGTTCTTCCCCTGGACTATGGTCACAGCTTGTTGCTCAGTATCACCACCTTTTCTAATTTGCTGAGCTTCCAGGTGCTGGGAGTGCCATGTTGAAAATCCCTCTGATGCCGTCCCAGTCCAACTGGACCTCCCCACCTGGCATTCAAGCTCTCCTATAAGACGACCTCAGTCAGCCTCTGTCTTCTAGGCTAACTTCCCATTATTCTCTCCCACACAGCTCATGCTGGACAGAGCCTGGGTCCTCCATTTCCTGATTGCATGAAGTGCTCACCGTGCCTTATCCATGTTGTTCCTTCTATCTGCTAGAGAGCTCTTCCCCTTCATCAGGACACATCGAAATCCATTAAGGCTCAGCTCAGAGGCCATCTCCTCTGTGAAAACTCCCTTGACTGCCCAAGTCAATATACTCTTTCCAGCCTCAGAATTCTCAAGACACTGTGCATCCTACTATTCTCCTTTGTACTACAGTTACTTATGTCTTACTTTATTTTTTCCTTTATAGTAGTAGGCTCAGTGAAGTCAGGGACTATTGAATCATCTCTACTTCCTTCTCAGGTCAGCACCTTACCCATGGGCAATGAATATCAGTTAAATAAATGAACACAGACTTGGGTACTTCCTTGCTCCTTTCTCTTCTGTTACCAGTACGTTCCAACTCTGAAAGTGGCCGTTTAGAGGACAACCAAAGCCCATTCTAAGGGTTTCTGCTGGGTATTCCCTTAAACACAGAGTCACTGTTTTTTGTTTGTTTTTACCAACATTACTATTTTAAAAATATAAGCAAAAGCAATATAATTTAAATAAAAATCAAGAAAGGAAGAAAAAAAAAACCAACCCTGGTTCCTTACCAAAATTTCCATTTTCATTTTTGTATATTGCTATCTAGTCTTATAAAATCACAGCCTGGATGAATAAGCAAACATTTACATGACCACTGCTGGGTTGGGCCTGACTCCTCAGCGAGAAAACTCTCTGAAGCAAAGAGCCTGAAGAGGATTGGAACATGCCACCCCAAAATATGCTGCTTTGACATATTTTGAACTGAAGGTGATTGAGAAACATCAGATCCAGGAAGGGCTCTCTGCCCTCCCACTCCCTGCCTAAAAGCAGATCATAAATTTTCACGTAGTATCAGGAAGAAGAGAACATTTTGTTAGGAGCTGATGCCAAGATGAGTCTAAACAAACAAACTTTACCAAAATAACCCTTATCTTCCATTAGTCTCCCCCAGCCCCTTTCCTTTGTCTAGTTACTTCTTCAAAACTTATCACTCTTTGTTAAAATGGCATAGAAGTGTTCAAGCCTAACTGCTTCTTTGGGATTTTCATTTCTTTCCTATGAGGAAAGAATAATGTAATGAGCTCAAGGGGGAGAGATTAAAGAAAATGTGATTGAAGCGCACAAACACTTAAGGATCCAGAATACATCCTATTCCTGTGCCATGTAGAAAATGAACATCAAATAAAATGTGTCGGCTTTTCTCCTTTTAATCTGGCTTTTGTCAGTTTAATTTGCGGGCTTCTAATACAGAATTTAAGAGGATGGAGGAAAAGTTTTTTTTCCTCCCCTACAGGCTCACAAACACTTTGCATGACTTACACTCTATTTGCATTGTTATTAGGAATTTGAGCCAATGAGTCAGTCCTTTTTACAACAACAACAACAACAACAAAATCCTTTGTTACAATAATTGGAATCTTCTAGGCTAAAGGGTTTTTTGTTTCAGCTGTATATTATCTGGTCTCTTTCCTAGTTTTAAACACTTGAGATATTTAAATCCTCCTGAAGAATACAAGGCAAATTAAGTTATCTTCTTATTTCAAACCCTAAGAATATTTCTTTCCATGTAGTTTCCATTTGACTAACTTAATTTCTGCTTTCCAAACCAAATAATGTCTTCACATCTGGGAAAATTTCCCCATATCCCCATGTGCTTCATATAAAAGAAGAATGTTAAGGACCAAGCCAAGCGCTCAATGAGAGAACACTATAGGGATGAACCCTACAGAGGGACTTCTCTTTATTACACCGGCTCTGGCTCGGGAAGCCTCTCGGCAAGAATGAGGGGAACGATGGGCCCCTACCAGCCAGCAGGGACTACCCTTAAAAACCAGGCACTGAAACACCCATTCACTATCCCTGAAGGATGTGCCTGAAAGAAGGACCAAATCCACTTGGTAGTCAGAAAAGGACCTGACTCCCAGCTGAACTCCTGGGCTGACAAAACACAGAAACACATGAAATTTCTAGGCAACCGTGTGGTGAGGATTGTCCTCTTGCTCCAGCAACAGCTGAATGCTAACTTTGGCCCAATCAGCCCTTGAGGGACTGACTACAAGGCTTTAATGGCTATTCCTGAATTTCAGGTTCATGTATCATCTTCCATAATTAGTAACAAAAAACTCAAGGTCTTACTTCTCTTGGAAAACATCCTTAGATATTAGGTGTTACAAAATTGAGGCTGGTGGACTTTCTAAAAGTTTTTTTCTTCTTTTTCTGTTGTGACTAAATATTGCACAGGTGTTTAAACCTGTCATTGATTTATAGAACTAAAAAGTCTATGATGCATATGTCTGATAAGACCCGCCCTCAGTTAAAGGTAGCTGCAAGGACATGTTTATGATGAGTCATTGAGTCAGAAAAACTACATACCCCTGGAAGTTTAAGAGAAGATCCAGGTTTGAGTTTACAAGTTCAATTCAATTAGGTAGAGATTAATTAATTTAATTTAATTAATTTATTTTTTAAAGATTTTTATTTATTTGATAGAGACAGTGAGAGAGGGAACACAAGCAGGGGGAGTGGGAGAGGTAGAAGCAGGCTTCCCGTGGAGCAGGGAGCCCAATGGGGGGCTCGATCCCAGGACCCTGGGACCATGACCTGAGCCGAAGCCAGACGCTTAACGACTGAGCCACCCAGGTACACTGAATTAGTTTTATTTTAAATTGGGAAATAGGATGTATTCTGGATCCTTAAGTGTTTGTGCACTTCAATCACATTTTCTTTAATCTCTCCCCCTTGAGCTCATTACATGGAGGCCGTATCTCATTCATGCCTGGCATTGTTAGGTGCTCGATACATGTTTATTGCAGTTGCAAAAAAAAAAAAAAAAAGGCAAGGCTCAGCCTAAAGCTTAACAGGGTTGATTTTTATACAAAGCCACTACTCGCGTGTGAAAGACTGTCACCAGCTGGTCATTCCTGGGGCTAAGTGGTGACTCCAAGGCCCACCCCACGATCTCATCATCTAGGTCATGGTTTCAAATATGTTATCCCCTCATGCTCATTCAGCAATGTTGCCAATGAGGAAACTGAGGGTCAGAGAACAGCTTGCTTGAGGTGTAATAAGAAAGATGTGCGGACAGAACGGGGGTGGGCCCTGCTGGACTCAGCCTCAGGGCCCAAGTCTGAGGGAAAAGTGCTACCAAAGCCTCCTTCCCACTCATCTACTCCAGGCATGAACATTCTGGAATAATGTTATGTTCTGGGGGCTGATAAAGCAAAATTACCTACTTATTTATATCAGAACACTAACCTGACATGGCTTAAAACATCTTTCCAAAAAAGAACAAAGAAGTTCTCTAAACAGAAGAATACGGTGCTCATCTTTCTTCTATTTAGAATTTTAAGACAAAGGTTAGATCCAGCAAGTACTTATGTTAAAATGCAAAGCAAATTTACATTAAAGGGAAATTTACAAGTGTTTGTTGGAGGGGGAATAAAGAATAAGGGTGGATTCAGTTAGAGTTGGCAAACAATAGCTTAGTCTAATTAAAATTCATGCTTTACAGGTTTTAAATGCCATTAACGTGTTTATAATGAATACATATGTGAAAAAAGAAGGTTACTAAATTACACATATGTAGTATTATGATCTGTATCCTTCAAATATGTGTGAGTACAAAAAAGCTATGTATGTTAAGTATGTATGAGTGGAAAAAAGCTTGACAATAGAGCTTAAAAATCTTAAAATATTATCTGCTAGTAAAGAGATTATAGGTATGCTTTTCTGATTTTTTTATAATACTATATGTTACTTTATGACCAGAAAAGGTGAACATTATTTTTTTATCCATTAACTACATTAGTTCTTTAATTGGAAGTGAAAAATTCTTTGAGAGAAAATGTTTGCAAACATACATTCAAAAAGTAGAAAATGGCATTTTTACTATTTTGTTAAGTAGAGATAAGTTATTAAGTGTGTAGTCATATAAGAACTATGATTAAATCTTTTAAATATTTCAGATGCATTATAAACTCAGCTGTCTTGCATTGTCTTATCTTTGCATATAGCCTTTTATTAATTACACTGTGTTATATAAATAAATGTTCTTTATAGTTTAGAATAATGATTGATGAAGATGAGGAAGCATTTACTGAGAAAATAATTTCAGCTGTTTTAACCTTTACATGAGCATTTTAAAACTTTGATTTCCTCTAGTGAATGTGAACCTCAAGAAAAATTTCCAAACTTCAGTCTACTTGGACATGCGAGTCATTGAACAATTCATGGAAGAAATTATTACCTTAAGCTCTGCATATTCTTTATGAGATTTCATATAAATATTAAGGATTAAAAGGGTTTAAGTGCTCTAGACTTCAAACAATCTTGTTCCTTTTGTTTCATGACTTAAACTGGTATTGTAAGTTCTCTGTTTGCATCACAAACTTTTATATTATAGGACACAGACATTTTAGCTTAAGGTCTTATGTATATTTGACAAAAATAATTTTCGTCCAAAATTATTTTAAAAAGAGTCTTCCCAAGAGGAAAATGAAAGCCTGGCATCATTCTTTTTATTCATTTGTTTGCACACTAACTTCACTGAGTTTACCGCGAACACAAATGAGTTTTGGGATGGCTAGAAATCCAGAAACACAAAAGAATTAGTTGAAGGAACTAGGAATTTTTAGGAGAAGAGGTGGAAGAGGTCTCCAAATATCTTTAGGGCTGCAGTGTAAGGAGGAACACTCATGTTTTACAGGACAGGAGTGGGAGTTAGCAAGACACATTTTGGTCCAATGCCAAAGAAACCCTCTGGGCAACTGCCTGGACCCGCCATGAATTTCTGGGAAGGAGTTAGGCTGAGTCAGGGATGCTGCAGAGAGCTCCTCATGCTGGCAGGGAGGCTGAGCACAGTGGCTTCTGGGGGGCCTCCCAGGGCTGCTTGGGCACTGCCAGGAGCTGAGGTGTGAGCTGGGAGGCTTGGATGGAGGGAGAGGGGATGTGCAGACAGAACGGGGGTGGGCCCTGCTGGACTCAGCCTCAGGGCCCAAGTCTGAGTCCATGGACACCTTTCGATGGGCACCTACTCTCCATTTGTTTCCTTTGGGTCAATGCCTTCCTGAGGACTAATTCGGTGCCCATGACAGCCCACTCTGGGACAGAGGAACAGTTAGCTGCTTGTCCTAAGAGTTCAGTGTTTGCACACGGGCTCTCTATCTGGGGACCATCCTGGGGCTAAAGGGGAGTGGCCGTAAGCCACGAGGTGTCAGGAATCCACAGCAGGTCAATCACTCGATGAGAATCTCCAGGATGATCTCTGCATGCGAGGTGAAAGCTGCGTTGGCAGGTCTGTTCCTCAACCCCCACCAAGGTGCAGTGTTACTGTGATGACGGGGACAAAATTAAGGGGCATCTTAGCACCAGATGGAGTGGAAGCCCCTATGAATGCTTGCAGGGTGATACTCAGAATACTGGACAATGCTCACCAGCCGGAGGGATGCTGGCCCAGGAATCCACCCATGTGGCGGGATGGCGACTCATGAAGGTTTCCTCCTCTGAACTTGAGATGTCGCCCTGTTGTTGTTCACATGATTCCACAGGGAGACGAGGCTCCCGTGCTCAGTGTTTCCTAGGGCTCTAGGAACTTGCCTGGTCCCCTCTTACCCTTGGCCCAGCAGCCTCAGTGCCCCCTGGGAGCCCGTTAGGAAGGCAGATTCCCAGGCCCACCTCCCCGTGCGGACTCAGCCCCGGCACCATGCGGGGATTCCCAGGTGACCTGTAGGCACACTGCAGTTTGGCAGCATGGTGAGGAATTCTGATAAGGGAAACGGTGGCCACCTGGCCTAGCCAAGAGGAAGGCACTAAGGACAGAGACAGCCAGTCCTGGCTCCAGCCCAGTTCAACTTGCAAGGGCTCTCTAGACGGTCCAGAAACCCAGAAACCGTTGGGGTGGCGGCCAGCCCACTGCCCTGGGAGGAATCCCCTGATGGCCTCTCCCACTGCCAGCCCTCCCCTTGCCTTCTTCCAAGAAAAGGAAGACAAAGCTCACTCTCTCCTTCCCTCTCTCTCTTCCCCTCCCCAAGGTACACTCTGTAATTTTGCTTAGTGCTTTTTCCCAAACCCTTTTTTTTTTTATTGTGGTAAAATACACATAACATAAATTTACCATTTTAATCATTTTCAGTGTACATTTCAGTGGTATTAATTACATCTACACTGTTGTGTAACCATCACCAGACCCAACTCCAGAATCCCTATAAATCCTACTTTTGTCATTTTTTTTTTTTAGGGAGAGCACACACATGCATGCGTGTGAGCGAGGAGGGGGAGGGGCAGAGGAGGAGGGAAGAGAGAGAATCTTAAGCAGGCTCCACGCCCAGTGGAGCCCTGCATGGGGCTCGATCTCACGACCCTGAGATCATGACCTGAGCCGAAATCAAGAGTCGGATGCTTAACCGACTGAGCCACCCAGGCGCCCCTAGTTTTGTCTTTGATACAGGAACTCTATCTCTTGCTGGTTTCCCTTGCACATAGGTAACTGGCGGGCCGACGGTTAACTGTACGTGCCTCAGACTTCATCTTTACATCTGACACCAGGGACCCCAAGGGAGGCCAGGCTACTGGGGAGGGGAACAGTCTGTGAACTGTGCTGAGTTAGTGAGAAGGGAAGGGGCCTGCCGTCTGCTGAGTGCTTTTATATGCCAGGCACTGACATACCATATGAGAGCTGCAATGTAATTCTTCCCCTGCTTCAGTATTTCATGATTTAATGTTCATGTGCAGTGCAAAGGAGAACTAATGCTCTCACACCCACTGCCCACCCTTGCAGCCCCTCAGTCTTTGTATGAGGATAGAAAGCCTTTTCCCCAAAGTCAGAAGTTACCCTTGGGATTCTCAGCTGGTGATTCATCTTCGTGGTGTTGGGGTGCCTGTCACATACAGCTCCTGCCCACTGGCCCAGCAGCCCTTGGTCCCGGCTGTCAGAAACCCACTCTGCCTCCCCTCAGCTCACCCTTTCACTCCACTCGGTGAGGAACCAGCTCTTGGCACAGGGCCCCATGTCGCAGTTCTCAATGTCGTTCGGCCGGAGCTTCATGTTGCATTCTTCATCGTCGACCACGTCCCCGATGTTGCTCACACACTTCACGTCTCGGGTCCTCTGTCCCACCCCGCAGGGCACTGAGCACTAAAACAGCAGGAATAAGTCAGTGGGATGGGCAGCGTTACCTTCGGGGGCCTCTCCAGCCCGGGTGCCCTCATCCTTGCCACCTGCCACCGGAGCGGACGACTGTGGTGAGACCCACTGGGGGGCTCTGAGTTCCCAGCCCTGAAAACCTCACCACCTCCTCTCTAAGACCTTCTTGGATGTCCTGCCCACTTTGTGGCTCTGGGCCTCCGTTCTGTCATCTGTGAAACGGGGGCGCGAGACTGGAAGGAGCTGACTTCTCATGACACACGAGAGAGAGCACCTGTATGCGCGTGACTGCCACGGGCTCACCCTGCAAGTGGGCTGTAGGCGGCTGCTGCACACCACCCTTAACCCTCGGGCGCCATCGGCTTGCAAAACAGTCCTTCCAGAACACCCCCCAGCCCCGGCCCCGCCCCAGGAAGGGTTCTCTTTAGGAGACCTCAGGGCCGTCCGGAGTCAGGTCTGGGGGCTGTGGGGCGGGGCACGGCAGGGCGTCTGGGAGGGGGAGCTCTAGCGCAGCGGCCTGCCCCGCGTACCGAGGTCCAGTCTGTGCGGATCTGCCACTCGCTGCAGATCTTGAGCTGGCAGGTGCTGGTGGTCTCGGGCTTCTCCAGGTGCCGGCAGCGGAAGGGCTGCACCGTCAGGCTGCGGTTGGCGTACACCTGCCGGCACAGGACCTGACGGTGCTGCATGCCCAGGCCGCAGGTTTTGCTGCACTCGGACCACTCTCCGATGTCCCAGCTAGCTCAGGAACGAGAGAGCGCGAGAGGGACAGATCACCTTCAGCCAGTGGAAGAGAGCACCGCCCCGAGAGCCGGCTCGCACACAACCATCAGCACCGTTACGGGTGGTCCTCACCCAAGAGCACAGCTCAACGCCTGCCCGAGGGCCGTCGGACTCCGTGAAGCAACGGAACTCTGTCGACAAGCTCCTTACCAGTGATGACAGCCCAGTTTTAGAAAATTAAAGAAAACCGAGCAGGTGCAAAGGATTTTTATCTAAAAAACGCCCCAAACTCCAAACGTTAGTTTTATCATCACCCCGTAGAACATTAACCCACGTTGGATCTTAGAAATCTCCAGCATTCTTTATTGCTCATGAGCTACTTACTCATCAGTTTCACGGTCCTCCCCGTCATCCTGCTTTGTCACTTAGTTAAATAAGACATCAGCACACGCTCAATACGTAGGAGGATGTTTCTATTACTTTGAAAATTATGATGGGACTCTTTTGGGGGGCTCTTTCTCCCTGTTCTTCTGGAAGTGTCCTCTGCATCATTCAGTAACCAGCCCAAGACCTCTCCTGAGACACTCCTCCCGACTTCTCCTTGCCCACGTACTCGTGACTCTCCTCAGTCTCTCTGTTCACGGCTCACCTACAACACTGACCACGCTGGACTGGAATTCCCAGCTTCCCTCTTTGCTTTCCTCACCAGGCTAACACGTAATTGCTCCAAATTACCAAAGGCGTGTGCTCACTGCTGAAGGCTACAAGCTTCCACGTTCATCCCCAGAGACAGGTGTGCTTGCCGAACAGACTGCAGTTTATGCACAGACTGAGTCTCGTGTCTCTAAATCAGATGTAGACAGATTTTATGCCCACTAATAAGGTCCTATGCACCCAGAAGTGACCCGATAACAGGCGACCTCCACAGAGAGGCCATCTTACAAGGCTGGGCAAGGGAAGAGGTTGCAGGGCTCCTCCTCGGGGGTGGGCTTCATACTGGAGTCGCAGTAGCTCTCGGGCACCTCTTCGTGGGTGTTTCGGTGCACACAGCGAAAAATAGGGAACCGCGATCCTGCAAGGACAAGGAGAACTTCTCAAGGACAGCCCCACACACTTGAATGTTGGGCTCTGGGTGCAGGTGCACAGAGATCTGGGTACTGATGAAGAGAGGCCGCAGGAACAGAGAAATGCACACACACACAAACACTCCTCCTTCATTCATGCGTTTACACACACCTCCCACACAGGGGCTGTGACAGGCACTGTGGACACTGGGGGTGCAAACCGCGGACACGGTTGGAAAGTGCTAAAGGCAGATACAAACAATTTTCATAACAGTTCAAGATATCACGAGGCAGGAGAGTGATTTATAAAATGAGCACAAGTAATAACTGCTTGGAAGTTTTCCGGAGACATCACAAAGAAAGGGTCCTAGAGGGTCCAGCTGGATCCTACGGAAGGGTGGGGTTTGGGTAGCTGTGGGCATGTGTGTCTTGGAGGGAGGGGGCTGTCCAGGCGGCTGAACAGGAACAAAAGTGCCCGACACACTGGCCTGCATGTGCCTGGAATGTGTGAGAGGCAGGCTGAAGCAGGGAAGTAAGAAGATTCAGGACCGGCTAGAAGAGCAGCGAGCTTCGCCCTACTCTCTAAAGCATTTTACCCATTCCCCTAATAAAGTACTGATCCAATGGTATTTTTAGTTATTTGAGTAGATGTCTGCTTCCCATGAGACAGAGAGCTTCTCAGGACAGAACTAATTCTTGTTCATTCCTGTAATCCCAGTACCTAACAGCATAACAGCCGCTCAATAAACATGCTGAATGGATATTTATCAGAGGTCTCATATTTGTTTTTATTACTTTGTTAAAAAAAAATCATACTGACTGCCTCACGGTTGTTGTTGTTGTTTTGTTTTAAATACGCAGCCAAGTTTCACTGGCTTAATATGGATAAATGTATTTTGGAGAAAAAGTCAGAATCCGTTAAATGGAATCTCTAGCTTTGAAAAAAAAAAAAAAGCCGACAATTCTGCAGCCTCTCTCTGCTACCCCCTGGTGGCAGCTCGGGAGTATTGCTAAGGGATGTGTACAAAGTGAGAAAGGTAACCAGGAACAGGCCATGCAATTGTTTGAAAAATAAGATGTTTCTTCACAAATAAATGTCTGTCCCCCTGTGCCGACCCCCAGTCTAGGCCACTACCCAATTCCTGCCGGGCAGAACATGATCACTCATCCTACAGTTCCATCTTAGCTCTGTTGCTAACTGGCCAGGCATTTGGATTTTCTGAACTTCCAACTTACTACAATTTAATTGTAACTGGAGGGATAACTCTTCACAGAAACGTTTCCCTATTTCATCAGCCATGAAGAGTGTGTCAGTGCTTGTTGACGCTGATCTTGTGTGACCCCCAAGCCAGAGGGTGGTTCTTGTAAGAAACCTTGACAGATTAGAAGACAGTTCTGAATCTGAAATGATCATTTGTTTAAAAACCACTCTGGCAGTAAAAATTCATAATGTAGCTATAACTTTAAGACCATTATTTAAAAACAATGTTCCAGGGGCGCCTGGGTGGCTCAGTTGGTTAAGCATCTGCCTTCGGCTCAGGGTCCTGGGATCGAACCTCGCTTCTGGCTCCCTGCTCGGCGGGAAGCCCGCTTCTCCCTCTCCCACACCCCCTGCTTGTGTTCCCTCTCTTGCTGTCTCTCTCTCTCTGTCAAATAAATAAATAAGATCTTAAAAAAAATAAAAATAATGTTCCAATGAAGTATAATTATTAGCGGAGTAAAAAGCGGTACTGACTATAAAACTAATAAGAAGCAAAAACTTTTGTGGAATGAAATTTTGTCCAGTGACATATCTGCTTCCATGAAGGAGAGATTTTTTAAATTAAATTCCACATATATTAAGCACATTGTGCTCGCTTACAAAGATGAATAAGATTCCGTTCACGCCTTTCGGGATACCCATGTGGGACCCAGATATTAAGGGATTAAGTAAAAATCTTATTATTTATCCCTTCAGACCATGTGGGTGTAACTTTTCTGCTGGCAAGTCTGCGGACTGGAAAGCAAAAGTTACTACTCCAACCACATGGCACTCAAATGAGGGGGCAATTTAATATCTTTAGCTAAAAGGATACAGACTACCATAGGAATGCTCCGTGCCTTGGAGGGATGGGTCCTGCCCAGGGCTGTTTGTACGTGGCCATGGACCTTCCTCACCCTCTTAGTGCCTTTACACTACACTTAGCCATGGTCCAGCTCCAGTGTTCAGCCAAGGACGTAAATCCAGAGGCTCACTCTCTGATGGTGAGAACCATAATTCTTGACTCCAATGACCACAACGGTTTCTTTTTTGGGGTCAGTTTTGATTTCTGCAGAGAATGGGATGGTGAGGTCCGGGGCTGGCTGGGCTTCAGGCAGCAGGAAGAATCTGGGATCATTTTAGTTGGGTTTTATGTTGTGTGTGTTGATGAGAACAGAGGTATATTATCCTGGAGGAGGGAACCGTACTGCAGGTAATCTGCAGATATTAAAGGAGGCAAGTCAGTGAGTTCTGGGGACGGCATAGAGAGGCTGGTGCGGCATTGGGGAGAGAGGGACAAAATACGGAGCAAGAAAAAAATGAAATCATCTGAGGTTTGGAACTCCAGCAATCAACTGAGCCAAGCCAAAAGTTTGACCAGACAGAAGTCTGGGCAACGGCCGGGTGGAGTATGAGCCACTCTGGGCTATTGGTGGCAGGACCCCTCTCTGTGACAGTGATACAGTGAGGGGTGGTTTCCCTTGAGAGGCATGGAGACATGTGGTCTGTTGAGCTCCACCAGAAAGGACTGGAGAAGATTTGTGTGGGGACGAATGGTGAGGTCACAGGGAGCATGGATGTGGTTTGCATCTATAAGAGCAAGATGGTAACAGAAGGGCGTGGTCCTGGTACATTTGTCACTGCTGCTGAGCTAAACATGGATGCATCCACATGGCCTCATGTGCCCTGCAATCCAGCCAGCGCTGCTGGGAACAAACCTTACAGGGAGCAAAGGAGGGGCATCCAGGGGCTGCTGCCATTTGTCCAGTGGAAGAACAAGGGGCTAGGAGTACGAGAGGAGGGAGGGCTGGGGGAAAAAACAGCTCTGCTCTTGTTTTATTTCCAAGGAACCTCTTCCGTAGCTCTTGGACTGGAGAAACCATGCTGTTTCTCAAGGTAAAAAAGAGGACGCACATGTCCTCACAAGCATCCAAGTGGCAGATGCTGTGTGTGTGTGTGTGTGCCCACAAGCAAAGCAGAAAGACTATATTAAGAACGTTAAATAAAATCATATGGAAATCTAGAGAAAAAGATTCTTCAGTTGCGAGTACATAAATCCACATTCTTTAAGCTACGATAGAACACAGTAAGGCAGTAACAGCCTTGCCTATCCAGGATGCAATGATGTAAAAACTACCCTTACACCTTTTCTAATAGCTGGATATGCCCCAATTCAAGAAACACTTGAGGAGCGTCTCCTTGTGTGCTGGCTACCATCCCAGGAGCAGGTGATGAAAAGAGTCCATGCGCGGAGACAGCTAGGCCAAGCAGAGCTGGGACAAGAATGTGTCCTGAGTTGCGGTGGGGTCCCATAGGATAAGTGCCCGCCTGTGCCTTGCAGAACCAGGAAGGGCTTCACAGAGGAGGTGCATCTGAGCTAGATCGGGGAGTCTAAGTGGTTTGCTGGCTCCATACCAGAAGATACAGTGTAAGGGATGCAGGTGTTTTAGCTCAGTGTGGATCACACAGACTGTGGTTGGCTGGGGGAAAGATACCCAGAATTTTTGGAAATGGGGTCCCTCCATCATGCCTTGAATGATCCGTTGAATGAACACCTGGGTATGTGGCATTAATTCGGTGAATGCAGGGCTGTGTGAGCAGCATGAAGGGTGAGCGGGCAAAGGCACATGCTTTCGTCCTTATTCTACTAAAGTCCACGAGGCGATGCCCGAAGTCCTCTGGACATGGCGACATCTCACGCTACTCGAAAGACTAGGCCAGGCGATCTTTATGGACAGGAAAGGGAAGAGAATCTTCCACACATCTGCCATCCTTGATATAAAACCACAAGACGGCAATTTTTCTTCTTTTTATGACTTTCCCTGTGTGTACCTAGCACAAATGTGTCTGGTTCCTCTGGTGGGCATTGCACCACTAACTCCATGGTGGAAACTTCAGTAATCACACATTTGGACCCCGGGTTCCTATGTCAACTGCATTTCATCCTGCTCACCTCTACAGTTCCAGGGTTGGATCCTGACTGAAATGATTTTGGCCTTCCTGTGTAATTAGCTTTCTGCCTCTGTTCAGACACATTCTATGGGCGTATCATTTTCCTTCCGAAAGCTTAAAAAAGAGGTTAGGGCAATGAATCTTCAGTCCACATTCTTTGCACACGTATTAAGCAAAAGCCCACTAATATCTGCAGTGTCAGCTCCAGAAATCAGTAATCCAGTTATCAGTCATCACAGAACTGGCTGGGGGTCCAGGCAGGAGATGCTCCAGCCCCCACAAAGAACCAAGTACCTCAATTTGGTTCTCAAAAGCCACCAAGCTGATGCTCTTGGGAAAAAGATAAAGGCTTTACAGGCAGTTGTGAAAATTTCCCGGGTGCAAATTATGTCAGACTTCCTGAATTTTCTACCCTTGGGTACATGTCTCTTGAAGAAAAGAAAAGAAAAAAAAAAAAATCCCCAAACCACTTTTCTTAGTGTATCAGTTTCCAAGCAACAGGAACTTCTTGGGATAAAGCCTTCCCATTTCCGTGGCCACCTCGCCTCCAAGGACAGCGGTTTTAGCGTCACAAATAGGACTTCCTTACAAACAGGAGGCCATTTACCACGCATTTACCCTTGCCTCATGGTTCCTTGTGGTCTCAGACAGATCCTTGCACTGAGGAGCTAGGCCACCTTGAAACTGAGAAACAGCCTCAATTTCCAACCCAAGTGCCAGACATTCAATAAGGGGCTTCTGGACACATTCCACGCCTACCTTAACTTTGGAGTTTTCAAGGAAAACTAACCCCAGATCCAGCCCACGGTTCAGACTGATATTGATATTGACCCCTCTGCCCACAGCCTCCTTTGCTTTGAGCCCATCAAAACTCGCTTTCTTTAAATGTCACCTGAACTCCATCTGCCCTTCTCCCAAATCCTGTAACTCTTTTCTTTGTTTGGAGAGACACCATTTGTTCCTTCTGGTGTCTCTGGCGTGTGGTCTCCCTTCCTGCAAGGAGTCCATGGAGCTGGTGTGGCTGGGCTGCAGGCTTGCCCCCGGGGTTGTAGCGGATGGGGTTAGGATAATGGGACAATACACAGCGAAGATTTTACGGAGAGAACCGTGGGGAGCTGTGAACGTTGGTGAGCGTAAGAGCCGGCTCACACCTCAAGCCCCGTGAATGTGCTTTTTTTTTCTGGAATCTTAGATTTGAGAATGAGTTTTACTTGGTATTTGTGTACGTACACCTCAACTTCTCGATCTTAAACTCGGTGAACACATTCTGTGGTTATTCATGAGCTCGTCATGCAGGAGAGGGTTAACTCAGCAGGCCTGGGGTGCTCAAACCTTGCACACTCCAAAGAAAGTCCTGTCTTCAGGACTGGCCCTTGGAGCAGGGCTGGAGACAACCTTTGAGCCCGTGGGATATTCTGCTGATCGGAGTGTTTTTCCACACTGTATCAGTTTGACAAGATAGTTTATGCCAACAATGCGATTTGGCTGAATGCCTGTATTTGTGGGCCTGTGGTCTTGGCCACGTTCTATCTATCAGTCTGACTTCTGGGTGCTAAAGGCTGAGTAGCTAATGTAAATCATGTGGGGGCTCCATGCCTATGTGATTGAGTCACAGTAAGCCCCCTGGACACCAAACCTCAATTATCTAGTTGGCAATAGTTGGTCTTGCTGTCACCCATCACTGCTGGGAGAATTCAGTGCATCCGGGTGCAACTCTCTTGGGATGGGACACCTGGAAGCTGGCCCCCGGTTTCTCCTGGACTTTGCCCCACGTGCGTTTTCCCCTGATGATACCCACCTGTATCCTTTCACCGTAATAAGTTGTGACCACAAGCATAGCAACTCTTCTGAGTCTTGTGTGTCCTTCCTTTGGCTCATCAAGCTTGAGGGTGGTCTTGGGGACCCTCCACCCAATGTCATACCAATGAACCATCTCACAGTCAGACTCAAGGAGGGGAAGCTGCGCCATGTCCCTTGAGCCCAGCCACCCAATCCTTGCCCAGGGGTCTGCAGAGACCCTCCTTGCCCGCACTCGAGCTCACCTTTCCCACAACTTGTGGAGCATTCTGTGGTCCCCAGCTGCTTCCAGTTGTGGTCCCGGCTTCGCCGTGGGGGCTGCGGGCCTGCCGGCACCACGTTGTCTGGTCGATGGGAAGAAAATCCATCCGGATGCCTGACTGGGAAGGTCTGTGCCGATTCCGAGGTGAATACTTCGGGGGCCCCACCGTGCACATCTTCCTTCTCCTCGGTCTCTTCTTTCTCTTCTCCCTCCTCCTGGCTCCTCCCGTCTGTTCCCAGCTGGCCATTGAAGGGCTCCCCTAGGAGAGGCAGGTGCACACACACAGAAGTAAGACTGGTCTGGACCCGGAGTCCTCCCGAGGACATCCCTTGGACATTAGAAATTACATAGCATGAGGTCATTTCCAATCCATAGCACATGTATTTTAAACACGCATATACCAGTTTCCCTAATATTCAAAACATTGTTAAAAATGAGTAAGAAAAAGATGAATGTCTCAGTAGGAAAAGCAGGCAAGGGCCAGGAAGAGGTGAGTCACATAAAAGGAAATACTTTAAACAGCCCAAAGTCACACAAAAAGGCCCAACTTCACTCATAATGAAACAACTACATGTGAAAACAAAAACAACCACCACAACTTTATTAGCCTCACAATAAAGCGGAGGAACTTTGGAGACCCCTAAATCCCTAAACCCCTCATTGAAGATACAGGAAAACAGGGGAGGAGGAGCCTGCTGATAGACACAAAGTTTTGGAGGGCAATTTGGCCATATCTACCCAAGTTTGTTTTATTTATTTATTTATTGAATTTTTATTTTATTCAAATTCAATTAATTAATATATAGTGTATTATTAGTTTCAGAGGTAGAGGTCAGTGATTCATCAGGTGCATAGAACACCCGGTGCTCATTACATCACGTGCCCTCCTTAATACCCGTCACCCAGTTACCCCATCCCCTCCACCCTCCTCCCCTCCAGCAACCCTCTACCCAAGTTTTAAATGCACATACCCCTTGACCTAGGGATTCAGTTTCTAGGACATTTATCGTACAAATATTCCCATTCTTTTACACAAAGCTGTATGTACAAGCATGGCTCCTAAAGTGTGTTTTGAAATAGCCAAATAGTAGAGTGAACTTAAATGTCCACCAGGGTACCGGTTAAAATACGTCATGCTACAACCACGAACGGATGCTATGTTATTTTTTTTCTTTTAAAGAATGAAGCAAAATGTATGTTGTGACACGGAGATATGACTGATGCATTGTTTGATGAAAGAAAAAAGCACAGCAGGATTCATTTTGTATATGCATCCACACAGGTGTGGCAGGACCCCTTACGAGAGATTAAATTTGTGTTCTGCCCTTGTGTCTGTCCCACGTCTCCCAGGCCAAGTGGCCAAGCCCTTAGGTTTTCTGGACGCGGATTTTTGCAGGGAAGTAAAAGCTGCTGGACGTCAACAGCTCTTCTTTCTCACAGTGAAAGCCTGAGTTCTCAGTAAGGATAACAAGGCCCAGATACTGGGGCCAGCCAATGGGAAGAGAAGGAGGAGGAAAGAGGAGGGAAAAGTGGAGAGCCTTTTGAGAGAGGGAGAGATGTTTTCAGGGCAAGGAGAGGCCGAAGTCAGAAGGCCGGAGTTTCTTGAGCACCATAGACCTTACCTGTACCAGACAGGGATCTTTACTCATACTGGCGGGGTGTGTGGAGAGCCTCTGTATTTACTGAGATAGAGTTTTCTACAAGTGTCAAGGAAATCTGAAGTTGAGGCAAGATCTAAGTTAGACTTCTGGAAAAAACTGGCATGCGATGTTCCCTGTACACTTAGACTGCAGACAAAGGTTCAAATTGCTTATAAGCATGTTTCTACATGCACATGAAAGGGCTGGGTGGAATCCCTTCAAATCATGAAGAGATATTCCCTCTTGGAATGGGATTGGGGGATGAGGTTGGGACATATTGTTGTTGTTGTTGTTGTTTTTTTAAGTAGGCTTTATTCTTTTTTTTTTTTTAGAGCAGTTTTAGGTTCACAGCTCAATTAAGTGGCAAGTACAGAGTTTCCATACCTCCTCTGGCCCCACATAATGCACTTACCGCCCTCATCAACATCCCGCACAAGAGTGGTACATCTCTTACCATCTGTGAACCTGCATCAACACATCATTATCACCCAAAGCCCATAGTTTTCATTAGGGTTCATTTTGGTGGTGTACATTCTATGGATCTTGACAAAAGTAGAATACCATGTATCCATCATTACACTATCATCGAGAATAGTTTCACTGCCCTAAAAATCCTCTCTGTCTGCCTATTCACCCCTCACTCTCCCTTAACCCCTGGCAACCACTGATCTGTTTACTGTCTCCAAAGTTGTGCCATTTCCACAATATCATATAGTTGGAATCATACAGTATGGAGACTTTTCAGATGGGCTTCTTTCACTTAATAATGCACATTTAAGTTTCCTCCATGTTTTTCCATGGCTAGGTAGCTCATTTCTTTTTGTGCTGAGTAATATTCCACTAGCTGAATGTACCTCAGTTTATCCATCCATTCACTGAACGAAGGACATCTTGGTTGCTTCCAATTCTGGGCAATTATGGAGCACGTGCATCTTTATATATTTTTATTTTGATTGAATATTGTTCAAGCATATACTAGTTTGATACAAAACAAGGAGGCAAATTCCAGAGTTACTGTAGAATCCAGTTAAAATTTAGGACTTTCCCCACCCTGTACCACTTACAACACTTCATGGCTTAAAATATTAAATACAATTTAAATCAACAGAATCAAGACTAGGATACTGATGTAAGTGAGACTAAAATATTACCAGACAAGAACATTTAAAAATCTTTTGTACACCTTGCATGCACTGGGCACTACACTGGGATGGACACCTCATATTCAATCTCCTCCACTGCCTGACCCCTTCAAGAAAAACCTTCGAGTGTAGGGTTTTTCTCTTCACTATTTTGTAGACTGGAAACATGCTCAGAGAAGTTTCTGACTTGCCTGAAGGTGCACAGCAAGAAAGAGGCAGAGCTGGACTCAAGTTCATGGAGGGTAAAGCCTACTACAGAATGCCCCTCCTCATTAACTTTTTACAACTGACTCCTTCTGGGCCCGCCCTGTCCCAGGTAGCCAGTTCCATACTACCCATTAGCTGAGACCCATCAGGCTTGTTATCAATCATCATCACCCTGTAGGATTTCAAATAGTCTGTCCAATTGTCCTTATCCATCAGCATCAGATTTCAGGAACCTCAATATTCTGCCATCTGAGCTTCGTTTCTCAGACTGTGGATCGTTCCTGCAAATGGCTCGAACATTGTGTCGGGCTGAGTGTGCTGACTTGCAGTTTAGACAATATGCGCAGCCCACGTGCCCGGTACACACCCTGCTGTCTCCAAGGAGCCAGGTTGTTCTTCCCTGACCTGTGACAGTCAGATAACTCGGTTATCCATTTGGCGGGCCAGGCCTCACATCTGTGCCCTCACTTCCTGGGACAGATGTCAGAGCAGGTAACCCTAAGCGATATAACAGACAGCAGACTAAGGTCACTGTGGGACCGGGGCAATAAGTCCATCTCTTTGAGCTTCCATTTCCTACTTTTTAAAATGAGGCCAAAAACAGCCCCTTGCTCTGAGCACTGTCGTGATAATTTGATGAGTTCATCTATGTGAAGGGCTCAGCAATGTCTGGCACACAGCAAGGACTCCGTGCATGTGAGTGATATTATCATTGATATTTATGTAGGCCTTCCTGTTCAAAAGATGGAAAAAACAGTCTCCATTTGGGTGGTGGGTTCCATTATCATTTGGTAAAGAAATATCTGCAGAGCCGGAGGGCTGCCTGCTGTATCTATCAGCAGAGCCCATAGGAAAGAGGTAGATAATTAGGCGTGAACTCATTATTCTTTTCTTTCAAGTCAGGAGAAGCAAAAGGGGACCAAGAGAAAAGGCATGAGGTGGACAGAATAATGGCCCTCTGAAGGTGTCTGCCTCCTAATCCCTGGAACTGTAAGTATGGTACCTTGTATGGCAAAAGGGACTTTGCAGATGTGATGAAGTTAAAGATTTGGGGATGGAGAATGGTCCTGGATTGTCTGGCTGGGCCCAGAGATGTGATGATGGAAGAAGGGGGTCGGAGTCCGAGATCTGAAAGTGCTACTCAGTTAGCACTGAAGATGCAAAAAGAGGCCAGGAAGAAAGCAGTGCAGGAGGCCTCTTGAAGTGAAAAGGGCAGGGCGACAGAACCTTTTAGAGCCTCCAAGGGGAGCATGGCCTGCCGACACCTTGATTCCAGCCCAGCAAAACCCATTTTGGACTTCCGGAACTCCTGAACTGTAGGATAGCAAATGTGTGTTGTTTTTAAGCCACCATGTTTGAGGTAATTTGTTATATGGCAGGCAGCTCTAGGAAACTAGTATCAGGTATCTCAAAATGTTGAACTGGAAAGACAGACTCAGGATGTTCACCTCATTTCTGAATCAAGTGAATGAGACCCTCTTATCAGCAAAGGCTCAGACAAATGGTGAAGCATCCTCTGATGTCAAAGGCATGTCCGTGGGTTTTCTCTCTGTTGACTGAGAGACACAAGGGAGATGCACAAGAAGAGACAGAGGGCTTTAAAAAGAAACAATGGGCGGGGGGGAGGGGCTGCTTGGCAGGAGAACAAGAGATTTTACCTGGTCTCCTGTGAGGAGGCACCTGTGGGCTGATGGCGTTGGTCCCCATGATGACGTACTCATAGTGGACTCCTGGGTTGGGCTGCTGGTGTATCATCTGACAACACAGACGTCAATGTCACTGCATCGGGACACACTCACATCCCTTTCCTGCTGGCCCAAGGTCCCCTGGTATACATGGCACTATCTATAAACGAGTGGGTTGATTCAGATCTAATCGTATTAGTGAACCTGTGACAGATTAAAGGAAAGCTCTTCCCAGATGGGTTTTTTGCTTTTGAAGAATGAAGGACTTAGAAGAAAACTAGTCTGAAAGTCAAGATTTTATACATTCCAAATAGGAAGATGGGAGCAATGGTAGTAGAACCTTTCTGTTGGCTCTCAACCATCTCACACCATGGTTTAGATTGTGCTTGGTTCTCTCAAAATGGCCAAGCCATGTGTATGTGCCAGGGGAACTCATTTGAACACTAGGGGGCGAGATAGAGTCACGCCAAGAAGAGCCAACCCTCTTGGGCAGAGCCAGGCTGTGATCCTGTATGTCCCTTCAAAGAACCCTTCCTGGCCATGAAGCTGGCTCAGGAAAGGTCTGCCCCACCCTCTCCCTCGTCCACTTTCCGGGTCTCATCCCCTCTCAACCATGGAAAGCTCCAGAACCACAAAGACATGGGGTCAGGACAACCGGTGTCAGGGAAGTAAGTGTCCCTGGTTCCTATTCTCTCAGGAACCAATGACAAAAGCAGGATATCAAGCAGGAAACTGCAGAAGGCCATGGAAGTCAAGAATTAAACATCCTCTGGGACAGAATGCACAACATAAATCAGCACGGCTTTGCAGAATAAATCCCTCCCTACTGGCTTCGGAACACACAGTCCTTTGTGCCCATGGCCTTGCTGGTGAGAAGGAGCAGAAGGGGAATCTGCAGTGTGAATATGAACCAGGCAAGAAGGAGACACTGTCCCGTTCTGATATTTCTGTCTCTACTGCTTTCTAAAGGGGTTCTCCTGTTGACCAGCTGTATAACCTAGAGCAAGTCCCATGGTCTCACAGTTTTGGATTTCCTCATCTGGAGGAGGAGCTTAGAATCACAGCTGTCTCTTAGATCCTTTAAAAGCACAAGCGTCTCCCAGTCACCCCTGCACAGTGGGTCCTGCTGGTTCATGAGAGTGTCTGTTCTGTCCACCATCATCCCTTTACCAGCTCTCTCCAGGGGAAATGGGGCCTCCATTCTACAAACCACCCGAGGGAAGGCAGACATGAGAACCACTGAGCTCCTGACACCCAGGAACCATGGTGGTGAATACAGAACCCCAAGGGATGAAGGGGTGTGGCCCTGGTTCCACTGTTTACCCCCAATTCCCTCATTTCTCTTTTCACATATTCTGACTGTGGGTCTGAGGCCAGAAACCCCCCTCGCCTCTCTTACGCCTTTTCTGCATGAGCATTCTGCCAGTGCAAACCTTGTCTCGTTTATGAAGTTATTGTTGGCCACCACATCCTAGACCACCCACAGTGGGCCCTTAAAGACCGGGGTTTTTACCCCTGATGCCATTTTGAAATTTACCTGAAGTCCAACAACCAACTGGACAGTCTTAAAAAAAATATTCAAAATTAACTATAACAAGGCTTCTTTTATAGTTTCTAGTCTTTGAGCCACCAGGCCCAACAGGAATGAACATGTAATTATATAATTGGAGAACTAATATTTATAAAATTCTAACACAGCAAACCAGCATGTAGATTTGCATGGCTTTGGAGATGGTAAGAGAAGGCAGATCCGTGGGTGAGGTCGTCTTTGTCAAAACCTGATTTCGAGCTTTTATTTCTTGTCACTTTTTTTTTTTTTTAATTTCCTGATCTTTTTAAGAAGACTGGATCTTAGTGCTTTCTTTAAAAAATAAGGACCATTTTAAACTCTGGGGCGACTTCATAATTTAGTTTCTTGTAAAATAAATCCCACATTTTGTCTTCTGCCAGGCAAGGAACCTGTAGTAAACCTCTATATTGTTACTCAGAGCTTTATTGTATCATCTGGAGTACTCTGGAGCTCTTGTTTCTTCATTCGCTTTAGTAGAATTTGAAGAGGGCTGGGAACTTGAACAGTCGTGTCTTGCTTTAGGGCATTTGCTTTCTTTTGCCATAAAAAGAAAACATGCCAAATTAGCATTAGGAGAAAAGTGCCTGGAGGGGAGCCAATGCTCATGAAATAAAGGATATGTTTTGCCTCTGATTTGGTTCAACAAGTGAAAATGGTTATAGGGGGTCAATAAACTCTGAGGGTAATAAGCATCTGGTAAAGTTTAAGGTTTCTGTGAGCTAGGTACATTCAGAAGTGAGTGGCAAAAATGAACGCCAAGCACCTCGGCACCTCCAAAGGCTCAGCTCGAATGGTTTTATTGAGCACAGGCAACAATTTGTTGCTTATTTGTGCTAAGTGTGGTCCTTGGAAGAAACATAAGATGCAAAATCCCAACAGTCCAGAAACATCCAAACTCACATAGACATCCAAGATCTCATTCGTGGGGCCTTCAGCCAAAAAGGATTCTCCAGCGGTGCTCGAAATCTCATTTGGACGCTTGTAGGTGAACATGGTCCCTCCACCCTCGTATTTTCCAGGCCGGTCAATTGCCCAGTTCCCGTTGATGATGGAGCGGCCAGAACGACTTCGCAAAGCTGTCAAGAACAACAACAACAAAAAGAACAATAAGACAATTCCTTAAGTAAGCCCACGGGGTGCACAAGAAAGTGAACTGGCTTATTCTAAATTCATCAAAGTGTTTCCTGAGGATCCACTATGAAGATCTACTATGGAGAAGATCCACTATGTGCCAGGCACTGAGCTCAGCCCTGAGGGGGTGAGGCATCTAGGGCTCGACCACTTTCTTCAACCAGCTCAATCCCTTCCACCACTTGGACTTAGTAGAGAAAGGAGGAGTGGGAGTGGTTGGGAGAGAAGGGGAAGGAGAGGGGAAGGAGAAAGAAGAAGAAGAGGAAAGGAGAGAAAGGGGAACTGTGTCATATCCCATTATCTAGGTGAGAGGTTGCACATGGGCAGCCTGGGAGCTGATTTTGGCCCACAGATAAGCTTAGTTTGGCCTTCATGGTGTTTTGTTTTGTTTTTAAATAATTAAACCCAAACTCAATTTGGGTTCTCTAGCTTCTAGCTTGTCATGTAAAACAAGAAGACATGTTAGCATTGGCTCGACATCCCCTCACCGCAGCAACCAGCTGGAGCTGAGGAGGACCGCCCCGTTAGATGGGGTCTGTGTGCTCTGGTTTGCCCCAACCCCACCGCTCCTTAGGACTCCCCGACACTGAGGCTAAGTTTCAGTTTATTGCCCATTCATTTATGACTATGGATTATTTATTCCATCTATGATCATGCTGGCATTGTTATTTGTCTCACAGAATAGAAATTTTCTTATAATTCTTTCTACTGGTAGGTCTACTAAAAGTGACAAAGCTAAAGATAGGTCTAAGTGGGTCCCATGATTTTCTCCTACCTGATCACCTTCATTAATTTGTATGACCTTCCTGACTTCTGTGGGCTTTTGAGGCTAGATGCTCCCACATACACAGTCAAAATTGATCCTCATGACACTGCTAAGCAGGTGTCCCCAACTCTCAGAGCATGGTTCAGGGATGAGAGGGAACTTGTTCAAGTTCATGAAGATGAGAAGCGATAGAACGGTATCCACACTTAGGAGGGAGGTAAGAAAGGAGAAGAGGGGCAAGGAACAAAGTGTTCAGTTAATGAGAGAAGAAAGGACAGCATGTGAGAGCTGACTTTCTTCCTTTAGGCATTTGGCACCTTTGAACCCCCAAGCCAATGGTGGATTGAGTTTAAAAGACATCCAGTGTTAAGTGTCATATACATAGTGGGCCTGTGATGGTCACTGGCTCTTTGCAACTTCACTTGCACAGAATTACTAAATTTAATTTTGTACAATGTATTATGGAAAAATTTATATATAAACCAAAGCAGTGAGAACAGTATAATAAACCTCTGTGTATACATCAGCTTCAGTAATTATGAACTCATGGCTTATCCTGTCTCACTCTGCAAATCCCAGACCCCATTTATCCTTACATTTTTCAGGAGGTGTCTCTAAAATATAAGGAACCTTTGTTTCTTAAACCCATTTTCAGCAGCATTTCTACAGTGGGCCTCCGGGGGCCGGCAGAGTCAGAGCTGCTCCACGGGGTGGAAAAGCTTCCTATTTAGAGCAGGGGACCCCACAGACTCCATCCCTGGCTGGCTGGTTGCCATGGCCACTGGGAGACCACAGCTGTGGAGCACTGAATACCAAATTATAAAATCAATTCAGCTTGAGTGATAAAGAAGGTCAAGAGTAGAGACTGAGGAAGAGTAGGTTTGGGGCCGTTTTCTCTCAAAAATCACACTTGAGGGGCGCCTGGGTGGCTCAGTTGGTTAAGCAACTGCCTTCGGCTCAGGTCATGATCCTGGAGTCCCGGGATCGAGTCCCGCATCGG